TGGGTTCGAATCTCACTTGAACCTGAAAGTTTTTATTATTTATTTTATTTTCATCTTTCTCGATTTTTCGATCACGCACAAGATGATGACTTTTCATTCAAAGCCTAGGCTGCTCACACCAACACGGAAATTTCTGCGAAACTTTGTGCTCGTGCCTTCGCGCATGCAGGAGGAGAGGAGGGGGTTTCAAAGTGTTCAGAAGTTGTCGACGCAGTAACCATGGGGCATGATCCATCCTTGCCAATGTAAAATCTTGCCGGCTCTATGACCTTTGTTGCATCAACGTGGGACTGAGTTGTTTCAAGATAGTGGACAGTACAAAGCAGACAATGTGGTTTTGCCTGTGTATCAATGGGGACCACTCCTCCACCGCTGAGCCTGAGCGTCCACGTCACTGTGCAGCACTACTGTAGGATGTCGCAAAAATGACTTTCAGATGCACATGCAGAACCACCTAGACGCGGCAGCCTAATATTGGTGTATGACCAGTCATCATGTCGCTGGCGTGGCTCGGCCTTTACAAGTAGGGCAGCTGCGGTGGTTAAGCTATGGCCCTTGAATCAAAGCTGACACATAGTTTTTTTGAAAAAGACATCTACCGAGATTCAAGTAAATGCAGTACCAATGCGCTCTTGTTTTGTCAGTGAGATCGGCCCTGTGTATAAGTTTGCTAATAACCGGCGCTCGCAAAAGGGCTCTATAAAACCTAAGTTCTTATTCTCTGTGAAATTTGTTCGACTTCAACATAGCTAGACTTCCGAACAATATATTTCGATATATGCATTTTAAAACAGACTACCGATGTCGCACACGGGTGAAGGAGCATGACTGTTTGACAGTAGCTTGTCAGTGTTGCAGATCGACTAAAGCATGGACTTGCTTATCTACATGTGTACATTCAAATCTTGTTCTAGCGAACCTCAGATTAATAATTTTTTCAGATTAATGACTTCTTCGAAAGCCGTCCTCTAAATGTTCATTGGTTTATTGTGAAAATATTTCACTACTACAAATTTCAGAATACTGAATGTTTCAGAATAACGTATAGGATTTATGCCTTTTATATGTACGCAACACTTCGAAATAATGAATAGCGATTGTAAAAAGTTCCTCGTGGCTGTAAAAATATTGCCCAGCTTCGCACATGCAGAACGTCCGCACATTTCGCTATCTGCCCATCCTATTGAAATGTGCGAGCTTTATTGCCACCATCATCACCTAGTTCAATAGAATCTCGATGATACAATTTCGAAGGGAGCGCGCAAAATATTCATATCATCCCGAATTCGTATGAACCAGTTAAAGCTGATCATGAAGATGAACTATTGGGGTCAACTATTTCTTGGTGAAAAAAGTCCATGATGTTCTTTTGAACTTTATTGCTTTCACCGCCTCTCAGTAAAGTGCCACGGTTTCCTCACTCATACTGCTGGCGCTATAAGGCACGTTCACACTTGGCATCAAAGAAAGCGAAAGCGGCAAAACTTATTGAAAATTGTCGCTTCGCCCCTTAAGCGGCCGGAAAAACACGCCGCGAAGTCGGAAAATATAGTCTAAGAAAATTCACAATCGAGAATTCAGTCGAAAATGCCAAAGCGGGCACAAGACATGTTTGTGATCACTTTGCTGTTGCGATCGCTTTTCGCTTCACTCAACTTCAGATGAATGACGCAAGCAGCATTAATAATGCTCCTAGTAAAACGATGGAAAGAATACCTTTGTTCAGTGCAATCGCCAATGGTTACGGCGCTCTACTGTACTCACTTTGATCAAGTTTGTTAATGTCGCGCTGCAACTCGGGGATGGCATCGATTCTCGGCCGCGGCAGCCGTATTCTGATGGTAGTGATGAGCAAGAACATGCCAGGCGATCACAATTATACTACAGTGTGTCCTGTATTCAAGTCGTGGTTTTTACACGTAAGACAGCACATTTACATTATTATATAATTGCTTTCTTCACAGGCTATTTCTTTCAGAATTATGTTCTCACTTCGCCAAGATTTGTTCCGACACGTGCGCCTATCTGGCCACGGACAGCTTTTTTTCCCCGTGTGTGCCAAGTTCCACGCGCAGTTGCAAAAGCCGATGCAGTATCGAGGCTTCCAACGTATCTTCAATGCGCTTGGCGGAGAACACCGTAACAACTGTTATATTTGTTTTTTCTTATGTATATACTCTTTCAAAACTGTTATATTTGTTTTTTCTTATGTGTATACTCTTTCACTCCCCGTGTATTTTCATTCACGCTTTCCTAGAAGTAATGTCGGGGTTTCATCTCACTAAAAACTAGTAGAGGTTAATTGCACCAACTTCATGCAGCATTACAGCAACGGCACTGGTTCACTAGCAAGTGCTGGTTTGAATAGCCCATTTTTCAATTAATTTACGTTGCAGTTGATTATCTCCCAAGTTTCATCAACCTGTACGTGGATATGGCGTGGGAGACTAGAGACTGACTTATTGAAGCGAAGAACGCTTAGTTATCACGCAGGCTACGTCGGTGCGAGCGCCATGGAAACTGTTCACAATGCTCATTGCGACTTTCGGGCATTCGCTTTGTGAACAATCGCTATCAATATTACTCTCATGCAATTAGAAATTACCGCTTGTGACGCGGCGTTTGATCGGACCAGCAGTTCCTGCGAATCGGACTATGCGGCCACATATAATCGCAGGTGACTAGCTGTTTAGAATAAATATTTACGTAATTAAAGTACAGATAACATGTCAGCATTTTTTATGGGATAGTAATATTTTGTTCAACATTTTGGATATATTGAAAGATTTTTTTGTTAATTCTTCTAACGTCTCTTTTATCAGAAGGCACTACATTGTCGAATCACCCGAATAATCTGCGTAAAAACCGCGATGTATGTAGTGATTTGAAAACACCATAACTTTATTTGTAATTCTTCGGGATACATGTTCTAACTCCTAATGTACGCCAAGCTCTAAAGAAAGTTAGGACCATCAGCATCCTAAATCAGTACTTTAAGGACCGATTTCTCAGCATTACCGGTAGAAGCAACAAATGTCTTGCTGTCATGCACCACCATTTTTGCAGTGACTCTTCTGTTTGGAGGAAAGTTTGCCCGTCAGACTATCGCAACTTTCTACAGCTCGCTTAACTTTCGGTAGCAGTGTAAACAGCCGCCTTCTACCTTGGTAGACTTGCATCACAACAATGAGCAATTATCACCACCATATCGCGTAAGAGTGGGCGCGCAGTGGGCGCAGAAAAAGGCGATACTTGACCGCAGGGCAAATGAGTTCTTGCTATGACGTCATTTCGCCGCGACTGCCACGCCGCCAGTGTTTGTTCTCAGGACTGATAGATAGAGCTCCATGTTCGATAGATCAGTGGTATAAAACAGGGGTCTGTGGACTATAGAGGGTCCGCGAAGCCATTTTTAAGATCCACGATGCCCTCACCTGCTTTTTTTACATCTTTTTATTCTTTTACATATGCAACTCTGTTTAAGAGCGACTGCGCCACGTATTAATGAACTGTCCAAAATGAAGGGGCACATTTGTTTGATGTCTTTGGTAGCAATAAAAGGCACCTGTTTCACGCTCCAGTTGTGTTAATTTACCTACGCACACCACTTCCCCCCCCCCCTCCAAGGGGTCCCATCACTTCAACCAGTCCACAACGGGTCCCCGACATATCCACGGCTAAGAACCACTGCGATAGATCATCGTACTCATTTTTTCGCAGATCGCGAGCACTTGTGTGCTTGTATGCTGTTTGCAGTAGTGCGGGGCGTGCAATCATGCACACTTCCATGGCATGTAAAAGCAAAGAGCACGATGTTTTAAAAAGATAAGTCAATGAATGTGCACGTATAGTGTTCAAGAAAACCAGAATGAGAAAATCAAATCCGCTCAATAAATTACGGTTGCAAGGCATTTCGAAAATGGACTAAAGAGGAAAATTATATTTTGTGTATTAGTAAAGTACAGTTTCTCAACTTTAAAAACACCACTCTTACCATGACGCGACACTTAATAAGTAAGGAAACTCACGAAAAGAAAATGCTGGTAGTGACGCCACCTTGTCATTCCAACACCAAAAACCGTGACACAAAAAATTTTGGAAGCACCTACTGGGTCCTACGCAGCTTTAAATCGATAAAATTGAAGTACATTGTAATCTGTGGGTGGCATAAATTTTGCATGCAAAGTTTCAGAAAATTTTATTGAGCCAGTGCAACGTAGATACTGAAAATACATTTAAAAATTTCTTATGTCACAAGTGGAGATTTTAGTGCGAGTGTAATGACTGGTGTGTACAATTGTTCGAGATAATCATGTCACATCGCTATGAACCTGGTCTTCTAAAGGTTATGTTGACTTTGATCTGGGTGTTCTAGTCGAAATTACGCTGATATTACCCAAACTGAATGTGATAGAAATGAAAGAATGCTATGTGTGTTACTTAACCTTCAATTGTCTCGTTTATGTCCGTGAGTACTGTACATTCACGCGTGCGACATGCTGTTGCACAGAGCCAATGTTCCACACGCACCTGTTGCGTGTTATGTATGGTGATGCAGCTTGTGGCAGAGCACACCTATTTGGGCACCTATTTGGGCTGTTTCTGCAATCTTGCAATAATACACTGCACCTACGATCGGTGTGCTCACAGCTGCTGCTTCCATAAACTAAAATGGGGCTCTTTTTTTTTTTTTTTGCCTAAAATGGTGTGTTTTATAAGATCTGCAGTGATTATAGCATTAAAAAAACTTTTTCCCCTACTTCGCCTCTTACCTACCATCGCAGTCATCTACCAACAGTTTGTCTACTGCAGGAGCACATTAACCGCATTGTTTCAGTTCATTGAATTGTCTACGAATTCTTTACCATAGTCAAGTAAAAGATTTATTGTCACTCATATTTTTTTAGGGAAGAATTCATAGTTTAGAATGAATGCAAGCTTATTCATTACTGCTGTTTTGGTTTTGTAAGCAGATTTTAGGCCACTGTTGTTTTTTACAGCGTGAAGATATCTTGACTATGCTGCTATCAGATTCCGGTGTGACTCACCCTGTTGCCAAGCGTGTTCCATCAGATGTTGGACGAGATGCAGCTGCTGACATTCGACGCCACATTACTGCCTCTTTTAAACAGAAGAAAGGACCTTTTTCTTGCTACTTTGTGACTGAATTTGTCACTTTTGCATTACCCACAGGTGAGAGACTTTTGAAGTTTATTTAAATTGTGTGTAACCTCATCAGGTTGAACTCATGGAGTTCTGAACGATGCCTTGGAAAATCAAAGTGGAGAGAGAAAGGGTTATATTCAGCAGTAGTAGTAAACATTTTTATTAAAGCAACTAATGGTTTCCTAAGTGGTGAGGGCTGTCAGTCCATGCCTGATTGCCAGGAACTAAGACCACAGTTTGAATATCCTGGTAGGCTCATACCTCCTGGCCCAGCACATTTTCAAAATGCAGCAGAAGCAGCCGCCATATTTTAAGCTTTTGTGTGTGTGTGTCCAGTCCTCCCAGCTTCTGGGATGTTGGCTGTGTGGTAGTTGAGAAAAGATTGTCTTTCAAGGAAATGGAGCTTGTACAAAATGTAGAATTCCGTGGAAAGTGACGCTTGGTAATGTGCACAGTATAGCATACTATTCAGTTGCCACCTGACAAAAGAAAATTGGCAAGGACTATTCAAAATCTAAAATGAGTTGAGCTGGATGTGTCAAATACACCAGGAAAAGCCTATTCCACAAAGGGCTAGACAAGGTTATCATGCTGCTGCTGCTGCATGCATGCCTGCATGCTTGCATATTACCTGTTCATTATTTGTTTTGACCAGCTTCAATGCTGTTGATGCAGAAATGAAAGCGTGCTGTAGTCTCCAAATGCACGATAATTACCAGCCCCTGAATCTTTACGGTAGTCATATTACTGCAGTACTCTTTGCAACATCTTCGATTAGCGGGCAGTAACCAACGTAGGAAGTTAGGAAGTGGGTGAAGGGACAGCTTGTTTACAGTTTTTATTGTGCACACAGCCTAGGCTCATTTATACCGCACCATGGCACAGTGGAAAAGGCAGGAGGGTTACATGTCCAAATCTTCATTTCCAGCCAACAATGTACAGACTATAATAAGTGTTGCAATTTTTCGGCAGAAGATGATAGGGTAGGGACTTTTACATAGTGCCCTGCAAATTCGTACCAGTCAAACCCACTTATAATGATCCCAGATTAACAACAGATTGGTTATAACGTCCATATTTTGGTGCACTTAAGATTTTCAATGCTACCCTTCGAAACTGCGTCCACATAGAGCAAACATTTTTCAATGCCACCTACTTTTACACCAAACACTTTTGACATGGCTGCAGCAAAAATATGGCTCATACGAAGGAAAAAAAAAAGTTCAAACAGGCATTCCAAAGCATATGATAGGCGCACACTCACGGTGTCTTGCTGAAGTTAACTTGAGACAAGTTAACTGGTCACACCATAAAAGTGAGCAGTTATCCCTTCATTGCGAAATTTGGACTAAGTGATTGTTTACTTGTAATTTAACCTATTCAGTTATAGTATATGAATAAAAGTGAAATGTGTGGATGATGGTTCTAATGCCTGTTTAAAAGGAAGTTTGTGGTTTTGTTTCGACTGAAACAAGCATAATGTAATCGCAGTTGTACTTGTTTTTAATGGCAAATGAAGTTTTTTAGTACAAAATAACAAAATTGAGAATTTCGTTTCCCCTTGAAGAGGCTGTTTTATTTAAAAAAAAAGGTGTTTATTGGAAGAAGGTTCTTCCATTAAACAGATGAAGTGAAAATCGACCCCCAGAATGGGAAAAAACGTGAAGTTATGTCAAATGAATGTTTATTGCAATTTTGATGTGGAAGTTTAAGTGTTTTTCTGACATTTACAATAAGAAATACGTAGATAGGGGTCGTGTGCTGGAGCTGATGTTTGAACTAGTGTACTTGTCTTTTTTCAAGGCTGCAGTTGGTTTCCTTAGCACTGGTGTGTGTATGCCTCATGTCCTCTCCACCAGTCCAAACGAAGGAGAAGAGAGGGCAGCCACAAAAAAGAGGAGGAGGAGGAACCCCATAATGAGAGGGTGCTGTGGCAAATTGGGCGAGTGAGAAGGAAGAAAGTAATTCGTAAAAATTTAAAAAAAAAATGCGGCTAGTGGTGGTGGTTGCACGTGTCTATGAATTATGGTTGTAAGGAGGAAGCACCAGTTTGCAATGGAACTTGAAAATTTTTAAGTCTTCAAACATATCAGTTTCCACTGTTTGTGTACCATAATGCATGGACTCAAGAGCACCTTTTGAATTGAGTGAATGAGGTATGACTCTTTATATGATGTCTCTTGGGAACCTGAAGTTCTACTGAAGAATGTAAAGCTTGAGGTCGCTATACTTGTGACCTGCTACACTGCTTTCGGCACTTTCTTCGCCGTCTCCGTGCAATGCCCATTCAATCTAATATTAACAGGCTGTTTTTCTTCGTCAATGTGCCGTTTGTGATAATATGAACGTTCAATCATGTAGACAACGTTTGAACTAGTGTAGGTCTCAACGGCCTCAAACTTTGAATCTTTCAGTTTCATACAATCCAGCCAGCCGGTATAAACATTTCAAAAGCCGCTTTTGAGTCCATGCTACATGGTACATACACAACGAAAACTGATAAGTGTTGAGTCCTCCTGGCAATTTTTCACTTGCCATTGTTTAAGTTGTGCTTTCTTCCAACAACCATTATTCAGCAACACATGCACCCTCGCCACCCACTCTTCTTTTTTCACGAAGTACCTTCTTCCTTCTAACTCGCCCAGTTCTCCACAGTGGCCTCTCACTGTCCCCCCTTCCTCCTTTTGCAGCTGCACTCTCCTCCTTTTGTGTGGATTGAAGTAGAGGATTCGAAGCGTACACATACCAGTACTAAGGAAATTGGTTGTTGCCGTGAGCAAGTCCACTTGTCAAAATGTTGGCTCCAGCACCCACCTGCAGTTCAAGAATTTGTCATTGCAAGCTTCCATTTTCCCCTTCTTGTTGTTCTTTTGGATTTCTGTCATTTACAGCATTACTTACTTTTTGTTACTTTCTCATGCCTATTATTTTTTCTTAGAAATCAGAGAGTTTCATCCATCTGTGCAGAAGGTTCTGTTTGATGAACTACTGGATCAGGATGTTCAAAAAGGTGAGCTAGGATGCTTGATTTATCGTAGTTACTGAACATCACTGTGCATCAAACTCCAACCATATTGTCCCTTTCTCAGCAAGGCAGTCAGAGGTGCGCTGGAAATGTAAGCTTCTGTTTATGAAATTGGTCGCAAAATGCACTATTTCATTTTTTTCAGCTTTGTAGACAACTTTAATTCTCACTATTGCTTGTAGCCGCAGCTCTAAATGGGAAATGTGAAGGGGAGGCCCTGCTTCACGCACATATATATATTTTTTTTTTATGTATAGTTGGTTTTGATGAAGCTTTTCGCAGCTTGTGCATTTCTTTTAATGATTTGAAATATGCAATTATTTTTAGTATAATTTTCTGTTTTTAAAATATCAGATTTTTATGTATTATTAGGAGCAAATTTTATAAATAAATAAATTGTGAGAGTTATAAAGCGAATCAGCATATCACAATAACCTGAAATAAATATTGCATGCAGTAAAAAAAAAAATGAAGATTCTAGGCCCATTTGAATAAAAGCTATGGTATATTAAACATTCCCAGCTGAATTACAGTTTGACCCAGCTTGACATCACTCACACTAGCAAATGTTAAATGTGCCATAACTTTTGTGATGTTAGCATCCATTCGTGTTTTACTGCATATAGTATTCATTTCATGTTATCAAGATATGATAATTTGCTTTCTCACACTCACAGTTATGAATAAATCTTGCTCCTAAATATACAGAAACTATTCAGTGCTTTCAGAACTACCTATTGTATTATAAGTTTTTATAACTACATTTGCAAGTTTGAAATCAGCACATGAAAATACATAGCCTGTAAAAGTTTCCTAACTATATTGTAACACACAGTTCAATGAACACATTTAATAATAGACTAATGTAGGCAGGGCGAACTTGTGCCTGAGAATAATAACACAGCTAGAACCAAATCTCCTTGCTGTCCTGAGGATTCACTTCTGCCTATTCCTCCACGTTCTTCTTTTTTTCCCAACACGGGTCGCGCAGCTGAGCCCCGCTGGCTCGTGCGCCGCAAACCATCGGGAAGGCATAAGTATTGGCTAGCGCGCGTAACTTGAAGTCACATTGTGTCATTGCTCCCCTTTCTAGAGTGCATCTTTCCGATGCTTCAAGACATTGAAGCTAACGACCCTTCCTCCATCCCAAGTGTAGGGTAGCTAACCGAGCCAAGCTTGGTTAACCTCCTTGCCTTTCCTCTCTATTTATCTCTCTTTCTCTCTCTCTCTCTCTTCCGATGCTTGTGCTGAATCGGTCGCATGGCGGTCAATCATAACACCTCGTCGTGGATGCAGTTAACGTCGAACAACGTTGTCCTCGTCGTTTCATTGTCTGTCGTGATACGGTTTTATCCTGACGACATACACAGTTTTTGTGCGATGCCGCTGTCGTGATGAAATATCCTGTCCCTCTGGCATAACTTCGTAGTTGAGCGAGCCGACACGGCGGAGCACTCTGTACGGACGGAAATAGCCGCGACACAGTTTTTCCGATATGCCACATATTCGTACAGGAATCCACACCCATACTCTTTCTCCTGGTGCGTACTGGACGTCTCTTCTTCGCAGATTGTATCAATGCGTGTCGGTTTTCTGCTGTTGGAGAATGCGTTAATATGCCAGCTGTCTGGCTTCTTCTGCTCTTTGTATGTAGTCGTGAATGTCATGGTCATTCTCGGACGTCTCGTCAATAGGTAACATTTCATCTAAAGGTGTCGTTACCGTCCGGCCAAAAACAAGTTGGAATGGCGCCATCCGTGTTGTCTCTTGCATCGCAGTGTTATAGGGAAATGTTGCATAGGGTAATATTTTATCCCAAGTACGGTGTTCTATATCCACGTACATTGACAACATATCAGCCAGCGTTCTGTTCAGTCGTTTGGTAAGACCATTCGCTTCAGGATGATATGCCATTGTTTTCCTATGGTTTGTGTGCATCAATTTTATATTACTTTTCATCAGGTCCGCCGTAAATGCAGTTCCGCGGTCCGTGATCAACACTCTTGGAGCTCCGTGCCGCAGTACGGTGTTGGAGACGAAGAATTCGGCCACTTCAGTGGCTGATCCTTTAACAAGAGTCGCTGTCTCGACATATCCAGCTAAATAGTCAGTCACAACTATTATCCATCGTTTTCCCGATGACAACATAGGAAATGGGCCCAGTAAGTCCGTTCCCTTTCTGTGAATGGGGCCTCTGGTGGTTCTATCGGTTGAAGGAGACCTGCTGGTTTTAGCGGTGGGGTTTTACGTCTTTGGGGGTCCCGGCAGGTTCTGACACAGTGTCGTACAGAGCTAAGCAACTTCGGCCAGTAGTATTTAGTGCGGATGCGGGCTAACGTTCTGTTCACTCCTAAATGTCCAGCTGATGGATCGTCGTGGCAAGCCTCCAAAAATCTCTGGTCGCAGAAGGGAAGGGACGACAAGCGGGAATGTCGCCTGTTTATTCCTAGATGTCTAGCTGATGGATCGTCGTGGCAAGCCTCCAAAATCTCTGGTCGCAGAAGTGAAAGGACGACAAGCAGGAATGTCACTGAATTGTTGTCAAAGGTACTTTTATACAGGGTGTTGTTTCGTAGGACAAACGCTGACAAGCCACGGACAAAAGGTCATGGAACATCTACAGACTGTCCTTGTAGGTACTTGATCAAGAGGAGTAGCTCAGGGTTAGATCGCTGATGTTGTGACATCTTTGACAGTGTCACGGCTCCCAAAGAAACAAAATCGTCACCTTGGTCGAAGCAGAAGCAGCAGGTTAAATCTGAGCACGTGACAAATAATCCGCATCACTGTGCTTGCGACCTGACTTATACACAAGCGTGATATTGTACTCCTGTAATCGCAGGCTCCATCGTACAAGCCGTCCACATGGGTCCTTGAGATTAGCCAGCCAGCATAGCGAATGATAGTCGCTTATAGCTCCAAAAGGCCTACCATATAAATATGGTCAAAACTTGCTGATAGCCCACACCACGGCAAGGCATTCTTTCTCAGTCGCTGAGTAGTTCATCTCAGCTTTCGAAAGAGTGCGACTGGCATACGCAATGACTCGTTCTTGCCCGTTTTTTCATTAGATGAGCGCAGCCCCAAGACGTAAATTGCTTGCATCCGTGTGGATATCAGTTTCCGCTTCCTCTTCGAAAATGCATATAAGCACAAATTTTGTTTCCAAGTGCAGTTTGAGACGTAAATTGCTTGCATCCGTGTGGACATCAGTTTCCGCTTCCTCTTCGAAAATGCGTCTGAACAGGATGGCTTTGAAGGCACTTCCGTAGTTCATTGAAGGCATCCTCTTGTTCGGCAAGCCATACGAAAGGCATTTTCTCTCTCGTCAGCCGCGTCAGAAGTTCAGCGATTCGTGAAAATTTTTAATGAACCGTCTATAATAGGCGCAGAGACCTAAAAATTGCCTAACAGCCTTTTTGTCTGTTGGCTTCGGAAATTTCGCTACGGCCTCGGTTTTTGCATGGTCTGGGCAGACGCCTTCTGCACTGATGACATGGCCGAGAAAAAGGAGCTTACGGAAGCCGAAATGACATTTCTGTGGTTTTATCGTCAAGTCCGCTGACAGCCTTTCCAAATGTTGCTCGAAGGTAGTGGAAGAGACTACAACATTGTTCAGATAAACCATGCATGACTGCCATTTCAGACCACAAAGCACTGTGTCCACCATCCGTTGGAATGTGGTGGGTGCTGAACAAAGGCCAAAAGGGAGTACCTTGAACTCGTATAAACTGTCCGGTGTTACAAACGCTGTCTTTTCGAGATCTCTTTCGTCAACTTCTATCTGCCGGTATCTACTTTTAAAATTCAGTGAGGAAAAATACCTGGCATTTCGCAGCCTATTCAGAGTGTCATCATTTCTTAAAAGAGGATAAACATCCCGTTTGGTGACGGCATCGAGCTTTCGGTAATCAATACAGAAACGTAAGGTTTGGTCTTTTTTCTTCATAAGAACAACAGGTGACGCTCATGGACTTGATGAAGGCTGGATTACGTCGTCCTTGAGCATTTCCTTTAACCTGATTACCAATAGCTTCTCTTTCTTTTGGTGACTCTCGGTAGGGATGCTGGTATATTGGTCTCTGTAACGTTGTGGTTCTAGTTTTTGTTTCGCACAACGTGCAGGTTCGATTTGGGAAGTCCGAGTAGCCACCTCAGGACACTTCCCGGAGGACGAGTTTGTTTGGCGCAATTATTTAATGGCAACAGCTTCAGACCACTTAACCCAAAATATAATTAGTCCTATTTCTCGGATACAGTTACAAATAAATCTTCATGCTATAAGTTAGTCACTCATCATCAAGTTCTACCACTCAGTCCCTAAACAAAAAGTCCTAAGCACGCAGTTCCTATATACAAAGTGTATTGCGGAACTTCAAAGGAGCGGCATCTCACCGACGTCGTTGCGTAGGCGCTTCGGCGCGAAGCACGGAGTCAATGCAGTTGTCATCGTAGTTGGCATTGGGGCTGGGCAGCCACCCGAGCTGTGGGAGAAGCCTTCCTAGGCTGCCGATGGACGCTGCACTAGGTGACGCCGCACCAGTTGGCGCTGCATTTGCCGCACTGGCCCTGAGGCAGAATCCCGGCCGGACAGCCCCGCCTGAGCTCGAGCCCGAAGATCGACAGCACAGACCTGTCCTCGGGCACGGGAATGTCAGCGCAGCCAGGTAGTCCTGGAGCCCCTCAGGTCACCGGACGATGGAGGTAGGAGCCTTGGCTCGGGTCCGAAACCCAACCGCCTTGATGCGGGGCTCGTTTTCCTCTGGCCACCACTGCGACTCCTCTTTTTCCTCTCTGTCATGTGCGTGCTTCAAACAATCGCTGCGTTAAACTGGCGCTTCAGTCATTTATCGTTTGTCGGTACACATCCGTGCCAGCTCCTTCCTCGTTGCCGAGTGCCAACTAGGGTCACGGCGGGCACTTAAAATTCCTCTCACTCAAATGTTCCAAGTTCCGCGCACTCCAAACACTTTCAATTTCGCGCA